CCATTAGACTGACAATGTAATTCAAGGGGAGTATCTTCTTGTCCATACGGAGCACTATATGTTGGCTTACATGATGGCGTTGCTATTGTATTGGGTATCGATAAATTTGAACAGTTTGCATACTGACCATTAAGCGTACATTTAATATCTAAACTATCTGATAGTAGAGGTGGACACATTTCTATAAATATAAATAAATTATAATCAACATAACTATACTTTTATAATTGACAAATAATTAACTATTACGTCATTTGAATTTAAAAAAAAAAACTTACTGAAACACAATTTCTCAGAATTCGATAACCATTTTCCTCTTCCCTGACAAAACCTAAAACCATTGGGATAAGCCTTATAATATCCAACTGCGCAATTCTCAATAACAATTAGATGATGATCAATTAATGCACCGTGAGGTAAAGTCTCATTAGAACCTTCATAAGAATACAAGACTCCTTCGGCAGTTGGTAGAACGCATGAATTCACTATTACCTGTCAAAAAACAAGTATGTTAAAAATATACTTTATACCTGAGATATTAGTTTTAAAGCAGAAGTTATCATAAATGAAGCCAAAACAATAAATTAAAAATTAAAATGGATAGGTAAATACACAGAAATATAAATACTTACTCGTTTGTTCAAAATTCCTTGAATAAATTTAATATGGTGTTTAATGCCTGTAAAACCCGCGACTGTATTATTTTCTTCTGTATGTGTGGTACTGAGTACACCAGTTAAAAAATAAGAATTGGAGTGCAAAAAACTTATACCCGATCCACTGTCTCCAGAACCTACCCGGTATGCTAGTTCTGTATCTAGAGATATATTATGCATAAGACACATCATAAGGATATTACTATTAATAGGTAAAAATTATGTGACAATATTATTATCATAATATACACAAAATAAATACATCAACTTTTGGTGAATATTTAATGTATTTATGGTTTTTTGATTTTACGGTACTATGAAAAAAAATCATATTGATATTATTAAAAACTGGGTTTGCATAAAAACCCAGTTGCCCTTAATTTTTGTTTTCTGATTTTTAATTTTTCCAATTATTAAGAAGAACACTGGAATATTTTACTTTTGAAACCAAAATAATTAACTGGCTCCAATATTTTATCAAGAGCATCCATTATATTTGAAAATTGAAGCATTTTTACCGCTCCAAAATAATATGTAAAGACTAAAGAGCCATAACCTAATACTAGAATCACTCTAAAATCAATGCTTTTATTATTATGCTCATAATCTAAATGTGTACTACCCAATTTAGAACCGGCACAAATCTTATCATAAGTTAAATATTCATCCAATCCACTTGTATTTTTTCTTTGACAAGTACTATGGTCGATGTATGGAAATAATTTTTCTAGTAAAACAAGACTTTGTGTGTCATTTTTTGTGTCTTCCCACACAAGAATCTGTAATAAAATGAATAATGTTTAATGTATAATTATAATAAACGTATAATATTAATATCTGGTCATGTAAATATCGATACCGATATCAATTATTTTCGTTAAATGAACTTTAACTACTAAAGTCAAATAATATTTAATGCATTTAATAAAACTACAAATTATGTAGGTACCTATATAGTACGACAAAGTTACCTTTCCTTGAGCTCCATTCTGTACCTCATATTTACTACTCCAATCGATACAAACAGGTGCGACACCATTAATAAACGAAACTTTGTGTGATAACACAAGAACAGAGATATCTTCAGCGTAGTTTCCATCAGCTGAATTATATCCTTCAGGCACATAAATTGTTTCAACCTACACAAATTATTCGGATCATACAAACTATTTATAGACTATGAACTATTAATAACTTGCATCGACTATTTGAGTTAGGTTGTCTCTTAATTTAAAATTTTTATCATATTTTCCAATAGCGACTTTGATTGAGCCATCGTTTACTGATATTGTCTTGGGTGAATCAGCATTTTTCCAAAAACCATGAGCAACTGAAAATTATATTTATTTAATTTTGTGTTTCTTTTTAACTATATTTTACATGAATATTACTTGAAATCACTACATTTGGACCAATTAGTGATCCTACACAGGAAAAGTAATAATTAGAATCTGTTTTAAATAATTTATATATTAGGACATTCCAAGGTGCTGTTTCAATCGTTGCTTTCTTATCTTTGGATGTTACTTCGCTTTTTTTATTCACTTTGCCACATTCTAAAACAATGAT